CTTTGAAAATGCGCTCGTTCAAACAATTTATTCAAACAGAGAATATGCATAAAATCTCAGTGGACGCAGGCATTCTTAACTGTGAAGTGGCATCCTTGAAAAACCGTCGTCTCCGAGAAATCGATTCCACTCGACGAAAAATGCCCTGCCATGTCTCGTCATCCAGTTGAGGGGCATTTCAACGGCTTCACGAATTGCATACACAGGATCGAGGTTTTTACCCAAGTTTTCCGGTCGCTTTTGTTCTTCTCGGTCAGTGGCTGTCCTTCGCCTGAAAGGCACAAGTGAAAAGAGGGTGTAGCACTGCTATTTATGTTCTCATTACGTGGCAGTATGCTTGCCAGCGCGAGGATTCGCATAAATAAATGTCTAGTAGAGCTTTAAACTGGGTTCTGGAAGGAGCGTGGACAACCGTCGGAAGAAGGTCATTCCACGCAGCTACTACCCGAAATGAGAAAAAATTTTGTCTAATGAATGTGTGTGCTCTGAGTTGAAAATTTACTTACTATGTCCCCGCTGTGTGTTTGCTGGGTCAACGGTAAAATTCCTGTTCGCCAAGCCTTGTTCAAATAGGGCATAAGTAAGAATTGGGTCCCCTCACTGGCGAAGGTACTCTAGGGGAAGGAGATCAAGCATCGCGAGACGCGTTTCGCAGTCCACAGTTTTGGGGCCAGCAACCATTCTCGTGGCGGCTCGCTGGATACGCTCAATGAGGGTGATGTCCTTCGTGCGTCCTGAGTAGACAACTTGGTTGGCGTACTCCAGGATAGTTTCGGACGCTGCCCCCATGGAGTGTTTGGAACTCCATGCGACTAACACGGGAGAAGGTGCTTTGGATCATCCGTAAAATGGCGAATGGCGTTTGGGCAGATTTCCCATGGTGCCGTGAGAAGGACAAGTTTGAGGAGACCCAGATTCCCGTATTCTTTTTGGCGTCTACCCTCATGATGTATTCTGGTACTTTCTCACCGTGCATAACAAAGGCATTCGCTGAGTCTCCTCCAAACGATATATAGGCGCACTTTGCGTCATTCAGAGGAGGCGCCAGTCCAACGACCACTGCTTGGAAGCGCCTTCATCCGTTTGGGGGGCACTGGCATCGAACCTCCAGTATTTCAATCGTCCGCAAAAAGTAGGCATGGTTTTGCAAGAATATCTGAGAGGTCGTTGACGTAGATCAGAAACAGAAGTAGTCCCCGGACGGGGCCTCCAGGAGCTCCAATGCAGACCGGCGCTGGAGAAGAGTAGGTCGGGCCTACTCTCACACGGAATGATCGGACTGATAGGAAAGCCCTGATTCAATGAAGGATTTTCCGTTGAATCCCGTAAGACTAAAGCTTGTGGAGTAGCGGAACGTGTGGGACCCTATAAAATGAGAAGTCGGAAAATATGGCACGCGACATGAGTCCTTCGTCCTTGGCTTGTGTTAAGCTGTCCACAAACACGAGCATGTTTGTCACGCAAGAACGGTTCGGGAGAAATCCGTGTTGAGCTGGCGATATCAGATTGCTGGAAGTAAGGTGATCTAGGATGGCTCGCTTCAGAATGCGTTCCATCACCTTGCACGGCACGCTAGTGAGGCTTAT